AATATGGTTAGAGGAAAACAGAATTTAAAGAAAGGTTTAACATATGATCATTTTTTTCCTAGTGGGAGATTTTCTGTATCTTGTTTTTTCTTTTATTGCCAGAGAACATGTGTGTTCTCTAGAGAGAGAAGAAAATCCCCACGGGGCGTAGTCATACTGCAGTCATTTTTTCTCCATTTCACTGTCCTGCTGGGAGTGTTTTTCAGGCTACCAAGGTCAGAGTTTGAATCACGGCCGGCTATGTGGAACCCACTCCCTCTGCTCAGTGCTCAGCCAACTGAGATATGGGGCTGGCTGTGTAACTTTTTTAGTTCTAGGGACAAAGCGTATATAACTAGTTGCTTTTAAAAAACGTAACTTTTAGGGGCCAGCAGTTGGCATAATGGCTGTGTAGCTGGACTCCCATGTAGTCGACCGTGGTTTGAGTCTTGGACCCGGTGGCCTAAACTCACACCGGGCATGTGTGCGTGTGTGCCCAAGATCCCGAGAGGAGAATGGAGGAGAAGGGTTTGCGGTGTAGCCACCCCCCCCCCCGGGGGGGGTGATTTCTCACTTTCTGTCTCTCTGTGTCTTTCTGGCGAGTACACGTGCCCTATAGCAAAATAGATAGATAGACAGACAGACAGACAGACAGACAGACCTAATGACCGTCCAACCACCCAACCACATAATTTTTAGTATAATTCAATATTTGGTTTATCGAGAAAGTAATTAGATTTCTAGTTGAATGTATTAATCCTAGAAGCATTTAGAAATACGTATTAAATCTGGTAGTGATTGGAAGTTGATGCTTTTTCCTTCCGCTTAACATAGTACAAATGCTCCCATACGTTAGAAGGTACTTACCGTTTCTTGAGGAAGAAAAATAACTGTTGTTTGCTTTACTGTAAACATTACTAATTCTATATTAATCTAGTCACATTGTTTGCCCAGCTGTAATTCTAAAGCAACTTTGGTTACAATTCTTGGATTAGATGGATTTCCCATAAAACTTAAGGTGGGAGGAAGGTCTGTTGTTTTATCTAGGTTTCAAAAATATGTCATTGATATATCATCCACAATAACCTGCAGTTTTATACTAACATACGTTATAGTTTCAAAGTCACAAGGCCAAGAGGCTGTGGGTCCTTCTTTCTCACCCCAAGCTTTGGATTTGCTCTGTCCTGAACTTTATGAACAAAGGAAACAATTACTTATTTTTCATACTTCCTAGACTAAATGGACAAAGGCTATACTTTAAGACCTTTTCTCAGTGTCCAATATCACTCTACCAACCCTTACGTAGCTTGTAAGGTCAATAAGGAACTACCCGTAATCAAAGAAGACTGGAGAAACGGTAACCCGCCTACTCATACTGCACCAGACATGGATTTTATTTTGTATATTAGAATTTTGTTGCTGTCCAAAAATAGAAACTTGGTGGTGGTGGTGGGGGGGGTTCTGTTTGTGAGCTAAATGCCATAGAGTTATCTCTGCCTGCTCCTTCTGTGAATTATTTAACTTCAGGATTTTCAACTCTTTTCTACTACTACAGCACTTTTGTAGCGCTGAAGATCTGATAACTGAATGCTTACGTGTCTTGTTCAAAAGATAATGTTACTATTAATCATTAGGTTTGGGAGAAATGTCTTTTACTAGGTAAAAAATATCATTCTGGGGACTCTCAAAGGAGCTCTTGCTCTTGGTTGTACTGCTAGAAACCAGGTTTATGGGTCCTTTGGAGTAGCGTCAAAGGGTCTAATGGCAGCTGTATCAACAGAGATGCGTTTGTACATTGTCATAATTTAGAACATTCTCTGAGTATTGGGCACTTTGCCTCCAAATGCTAGCTTTGTTATCTAGAATAAAAGGAGTTTGGCAAAGTTACTTCAAAAAGAAAAATGAGGATTTTGCACTGAAAAATGGAAAAAATCAAGTTCCTCATTTACTTGGTAAAAGAATTTCATCTCATTAAATGATGTTTTCAGTTTTTTTTTTTTTTAAACAATGGTTTTATTTAACTGTTATTTATTATTATTATCATTATTATTTTCCAGTTTGATCAGAGAGAGACAGAGAGAGAGAGAGAAAGTGAGAAAGCAAACCACCAGGTCTGAGACTTGAACCGTGGTCAGCCATGTGGGAGTCCAGCACCTTTAACCACCATGCCACTTGCTGGACCTGATGTTTTCAGTTTCTCATTTCACTTATACATTTGACCATTTAACTATTATGGCATTTATTCACCAAAGATGTCATTAAATTTTATTTATTTCATGGTTATAAATAGTCCCTCAAACTCTAATAGGCTGTCTTAGGCATTGTGGCTGGCATAGAATAGATAACTCTCATTTTTTATTAGCCATAATCCTGAAATGCTTATTAATAGTAGACACAAAATCTCTTTTCCTCCCTTTCCTTTACAACATTTTGGTGACCATGTAGGAAAAAAACAAAAAAACAAAATGTTTCTTGTCTTCTTGTTCATGTGCATTTTCTAATACGTTTGTTAAGGAGCCTTTTGAATTTGATCATCGTTCTTCTATCAAATGTGACGATCCCAAGTGATTACATTTTCATTCAGTTTCTTTCCCCAAGAGGAAAACACTTTATGAAATGTATACATTTATACCAACATTCTTAGAATCCTACTAATAGAGGAGGTTTGTAGCATTGTATTGAGAGAATGAGAAATGGAAGTATTTGTTACCCTTAAAACCACAAAAATGGGACAAAATCTCAATGTCCCAATCCTGGGGATGAGCTAACTTTTAGGTTACTTCAAAGAATGTTAGAAATTGCCTGATTTGTGGGCTTAAAAAATTTGCATAATTTAAAAATTGAACACTAAAATTACAAACAATGACTGAAAATTCAGCTTTTAAGAATTTCTAGGGAATTAATTTTTTAAAAGAATTATTTTATTTTTAACTTTGTTTATGCATTTATTTTAATTTGACCAGAGAGGGACAGAAAGAGAGAGAGAGAAAACATGAGAAAGCAAGCCACCAGGTCTGGGACTTGAACTGCAGTTAGTCATGTGGAAGTCCAGCACCCTTAACTACCATGCCATCTGCTGGCCCCATCTAGAGTATTAATTTAATCAGTTATTTTCTGGCTAAAAACAGTTCATACCTTTGTAGAATTTTAAAAATGATTAATTAGAGATATATAAATGAAAATAAAATTAATTTCATACTTTTTAAATACAGAAGACTGAAGATAACTGCTTAATGATTTACTTGATTATATGGTATTACTATTTTTGTTTTAATGTATACAGATTTAGCATCATTAATCTGAAAATCTGAAATTCAGGATGCTTCAAAATCCAATACTTCTTGGGACCAGCAGTTAGCGTAATGGCTATGTTGCTGGACTCCCACGTAGTCGACCTCAGTTCGCGTCCTGGACCCGGTGGCTTAAACTCACACCGGGCACGTGTGCGTGAGGGCACAAGATCCCAAGAGGAGAATGGAGGAGAAGGAATTGTGGCATGGCCATCCCCCCTGGGGAGTGATTTCCTGCTTTCTGTCTCTCTGTCTCTCTCTGTCTGTCTGGCGAGCACACGCGCCCTATAGCAAAAATCTCTCTCAAAAAAAAAATCCAATACTTATTGAGTGTGGACAGGATGTCACAAGTGGAAAATTCCACACCTAACCTTATGTAACGGTTTGCAGTAAAAAAAAAAAAAATTGCAGAATTACCTTCATGTTATGTGTATGAGGTATATGTGAACATAAATGAATTTCAGTTAGATTTGAGGCCCATGCTTACAATACCTCATTATGTAATGCTCATATTCCAAAATCTGATAAAAAAACAAAATCCAAACTACTCTGGTTCCAGGCATTTCAGAGAAGGGGTACTCAGCCTGTACTACCAACAGAAGCTTGTTTGTTCCTCTAACATTTATTGTGTACTTACTGTAAGCCAGGCACTACTCTAGGCATGATACTGATATAGTTAATGTACTAAGTAGTCTCAGAAGTCAGTGTTTTGAATTCTTGGCTGAATTTTATAATTTCTCCTTGCTGCTTGTTAGCCTAATGTTAGGAGTGTGAATTCAGGAACTAGACTATTAAAATTTGAATCCTAAAACTGTTAAACATTTGAGAGAATAGTAATTTTTTTTCTTGTTTTTTTTTTTTTTAAGAGATTTTTGCTATAGGACATGTGCACTCATTGGAGAGACAGAGAGACAGAAAGCAAAATAATCACTTCCTAGGAGGATAGCCACACAGCAATCCCTTCTCCTCCATTCTCCTCTTGGGATTTTGGGCACACTGGCACACATGTCCAGCATGAGTTTTAAACTGCCATCTCAAACTTGGTTGACTACATGGGAGTCCAGTGACATAACCATTACACTGTCTACTGATCCTGTGAATAATAGTGTTTTAATATCATGCAATAATTTCTTCAATTGTCTCATAAAGGTATATAACCCCTCTTTGCCTTCCTTTTTGTATATGTAACTGGGGCCAATGATGTAACTTACTTCATAGGACTATTGTGAGGGTTTAAAAGAATACATGTAAAAATGTTTAGAATGGTGTCTGTCACATATTTAGTCTGTATAAAGTGTCAGTAATTACTATTGCCGTCAACACTATGATTGATGTTAGGTCACTGGAAAAGTCATGACACATTTTTGCATCGAAAAATGAAAAATATGCCATGACTCTTCTGACAACTTAATACTATGATTTCATAATACTGCCACTCTTTTTGTCCCATCCTCTCTTTGTAAACTTGTCTAACCTGGGAAAATATATAACCAAAGAATTAAGTGTAAAATAAGAGGAAATTGACGGTATAAAACCTGAGACTCACATCCAAAAACACAGACTAAATGAGTCCTTATAGGCCTTGGAATTACATTTTGACTGCTGGGAACCTTTTTCTTAGACACAGCCTTTAAATTCAGTAGGTAATGCTTATAAACGAATGTTGAAAAAGAAAAACTATTAATTAAAGTATATACTTTAAAATCTCTTAATGAAGGGCTTATTTTTTAGGGAAAAAGATCTTGAAGAAGCTCTGGAAGCAGGAGGCTGTGATCTTGAAACTTTGAGAAATATAATTCAAGGTAGACCACTACCTGCTGATCTGAGGGCCAAAGTTTGGAAGGTAATTGGAAACTAAAGTGAGGAAAATGTAATCACTTAAGAATAATATTATTTTAAAAAATTCATTTACAGCTGTCTTGTTGCAGGAGACTTTATTATCTTATGATCATGCCACATCTAGAAAATTTGTCAAACAGAACAACTTAACTAAAATGTGTTTCTGTAGTGTTTGGTATGTTTAATAATAGTAATTTAAATGTTGGAAAGTAATATTTTCTTTTATAGTCATTAGAAGCAGTGCTTCTGAAGATTGTTCAGTAAAATGGGGAAATACAACAGTGAGTAAAATAGGGTATATTATTGGGGATATGTTGTGATCTCAGCTATGTTGGGAAAAAAAAGAAGAAAATATGCTTCTTGGTGTTGGGACTATAGGAGATTTTCATTTACTTTATTTTCTTCTTTTTCCCCCCTTAGTTTTTTGCTATAGAGCACGTGCACTTGTCAAAGAGACAGAGAGACAAAAAAAACGAGAAATCACCCTCCTGGGGGCAAGGGATGACCACACTGCAATCCCTTCTCCTCTATTCTCCTCTCAGGATTTTGGGTTTGCACGCACACACACCCGGCATGAATTTTAAGTTGTCAGATCTGAGACTGGAACCGCACTCAACTACATAGGAGTCCAGCGATGTAATCATTATGCCATCTGCTGGCCCCTTGTTTTCCTGTTTTAAACTACTCTCCAGTGCATGTATCATTACTTAAAAACAGCAACAACAACAACAGCAAAAAACTTTGGATTAAGATTTTGCTGTGATTATGAAAGAAATACATATACAGTCATACACAACCACATAATTAGGCAACGGACCACATATGCCGGTAGAGCTGTAGACTAAATGGCCCAGGAGGTTAGGCTGTGCCATCTAGGTTTGTGTAAGTACACTCTGTGGTGTTTGCACAGCAACAGAATCACCTAATGATGCACTTCCCAGAATGTATCCCCATTGTTAAGTGATGCATGACTGTATTTGTGAAAACATAAAATAGCACAAAAGATAAAATAAAAATCATGTGATATCAACCACCTGTAGGTAAAACACATAATGTCTTTTTTTTTTTTTTTTCTTTTTGGAGAGGTTTTCGCTATAGGGCGCATGCACTCGCCAGACAGACAAAGAGAGACAGACAGAAAGCGAGAAATCACCCCCCAGGGGAGATGGTCATGCCGCAATCCCTTCTCCTCCATTCTCCTCTCGGGATCTTGGGCACACACGCACACGCGCCCGGCGTGAGTTTTAAGCCACCGGGTCTGGGACGCGAACCGTGGTCGACTACGTGGGAGTCCAAGCGACATAGTCATTACGCTAACTGCTGGTTCCTAACACATAATGTCTTGATGCATATCTTTTTTACTTTTTTCCTATGCATACATGTATTTAACAGAGATAGAATTATAGCTGCATGTACATTCTGATTCTTTTGTTATAGATATTTAAACTATACCGAAGTGTGGACATTTGTATAATAAACCTCTTGTGTCCACAACTCAGCTTTAACAGTTAACATTTGTTCAATTCTGTTTGATTAGTGTGTTCATCCTTTCCTCCTCACAACACTCACTGGGTGTTTTTAAGTCAAATCATTGGTGGCATACCAAAATACTTTTTAGTATGAAAGTCTGAGAGATAAATACTCTTAAAATAGCCATAATAGTTCCATAATATAATGAAAACACTTAAAAGAATAGTAATTTCTTAATATTATAATATTATTTCTTTAGTTATCTTATACATGTGTTTTTTTTTACAGGTGGTTTGTTTAAATTTGAATTCTAGGAGGCCCACCCTTACATTTGGTTAATAACTCCCTGAAGATTCTTACAATCAATACAATATTGTTTTACATAGTTAAAAAAGACTTTAAAAAGACAAGGCCATTTTCTTAAAATTTCCATACTCTTCTGTTTATTTATTTATTTTTTTTGAGAGAGAGAGAGTTTTTTTTTTTTTTTTGGCTATAGGACATATATGCTCGCTGAAGAGACCCAGAGAAACAGAAAATGAGAAATCACTTCCAAGGGGGATGGCCATGCTGCATGGTCCATGACCATGCTCCTCCAATCTCCTCCCCTCCAGTCTCCTCTCAGGATTTTCGCATGTATGCACATGTGCCTGCCTGGCATGAGTTTTAAGCCTTTGGGTCCAGGGCTCATGCCATGTTCAGCCACGTGGGAATAGAGTGCCTTAACCATTATGCCACCTGCTGTCCCCATGCTTTTGTATAATTTTTTAATTGTACATCACACATATGCTTTTCCTTTGCCAAGATCACATTCTGTTTTTGTTTTGTTTTGTTTTACTATAATTTGCTATAGGGTGTGTGCACTCACTGGAGAGAGAGAGAAAGTGATAAAGCATCCCTCCCAGGGGGATGACCATGCTGCAGTCTCTTCTCCTGCACTCTACTGTCGGAATTTTGGGCACACACACACATGGGTCTGGCATGTTTTTTAAGCTGCTGAATCTGGGACTCGAATCATATGGTCGATCACATGGGAGCCAGCCACTTTAACCATCACGCCACCTGGCTGACTCCTGTGTTGTTTTTTACATTTTACAAAAAGATAGGCAAGATGATTGCTTAAAATACATTTATGTACATATACATATTGAGTTGTTGGAAAAGTCATGATGCGTTTTTCTTTTTTTTATCTTTTATTTATTTATTTTTTTTTTTGGAGAGGTTTTTGCTATAGGGCATGTGCACTCACCAGATAGACAGAAAGAGACAGAGACACAGAAAGCGAGAAATCACCCCCCCCAGGGGGATGGCTACGCCACAATCCCCTCTCCTCCATTCTCCTCTCAGGATCTTGGGCATGCACGCCCACGTGCCTGGCGTGAGTTTAAGCCACCGAGTCCGGGACTCAAACGGTGGTCGACTACATGGGAGTCCAGTGACATAGCCATTACGCTAACTGCTGGTGCCATGATGCATTTTTCCATAGAAAAATAACCCAATATATAAATATATACAACCCAATATATATATTTATATGTAAATATAAATACTTCATGTAATTTATTCTATTTACTGAATCTACATGAAGTAATAAAAGCTGTTGTAAGAAGATTTAAGATTATTCTTTTGGTTCACTATGATGTGACTAAGGGCTCTGCATGTGGTGTATAGATAACCTTACTTTGTAATTTTTGTTACTATTCCTAAATTTAGTCCTTTCATTATTAGGTCATATTATCCAAGAGTGAGAAATAATGTATGAACCTAGTTGCCTTTTTAAATCTTGCTTCCAGATTGCTCTGAATGTTGCAGGAAAAGGCGACAGTTTGGCATCATGGGATGGTATTTTAGACCTGCCAGAACAGAGCACTATTCACAAAGATTGCCAAGAGTTTATTGGTAAGTTTAATCATTGTTTTCAAGCAGTAAAACTCTTTGTAAATAAGTTCTGGGTGGTAATACTAATTTATATGTTAGTAGAATTATCTTGTTATAACTTGGGATATACTGAATTTTTAAAGTGCTTGTAAATAGTTTTAGAACCTACCTTTTGAAGTTCTTATGAAATGATGTTTAATAGTTTTAAGAAAAAGAGTTTTGTTTTTACTACTTCTTTGACATTATATATTTAATTTTTAAATGTATATTTATAGTAGTTTGCAGTTTTTGTTTTGTTTTGTTTTGTTTTTTGGAGAGGTTTTTTGCTATAGGGCGCGTGCGCTTGCCAGTCAGACAGAGAGAGACATAGAGACAAAAAGCGAGAAATCACCCCCCGTGGGGGGATGGCACGCTGCAATCCCTTCTTCTCCATTATCCTCTCGGGATCTTGGGCACGCACGCACACGCGCCTGGCGTGAGTTTTAAGTCACCAGGTCCAGGACACGAACCACGGTCTACTACATGGGAGTCCAGCAACATAGCCATTATGCTAACTGCTGGTTCCCGTAGTTTGCAGTTTAAAGCTTGGTTTTTATATAATTAAAGATTCGTATGATTGTATACAGTCTTCATACAAAAGGGGCTGTGTTCCAAAACACTATCTATCATAAGTTGTGCTCTGCTGTAGAAAAACTGTTGTAAATCATGGGTAAATAGATTTCTAGTCACCCCACAAAGTCTATTTTAATTCATAACATAGATTAATTTAGTTGATATTTTTCTTTATAAATTAGAGTCCATTGGTGTTTTTTGTTTAGTTACTCTATTTTAGTTAAATTATTGGTTAGATAAAGCATCTTGTACACTCACCACCATAGAAGTATCATAGTTGGTGTGGACTGAGAAAGGGAACTTGGTGGTGGGAAGTGAATCCTTTTTCCACCTCCCGCAAAAGCTATAATGGCAGCTGACCACTGCAGATGATAATTGGTTGTTTGGAAAGCAGTTTTTTCTCTTTCTGGGAATACTGGTTAGGCCTATCTTTGCCTAGCATTTTACTTTAGACTGGCCATTCTTAAGTTTAACTCAGGTATAGGTCAAGAATTATAACTGCTAATTAGTAAATACTGAATATGCCGAAGTCTTTTCTCCTTAGGGACTAAATAAGAAAATATATACTTACGTTAAACTAATCGTTATTCTAATGTTCTTTTCTTGAAACACCTACCTTGCTTAAAGTTAAAACCAAATATGATATTAAGTGCTTTCACTCTATTATATTCCCTTGGTTTTTGGCTCTTGGGGTCAATGATTAAAGTAAGGAAGAATATCTTTGTTTAGTTTTACTTTGCCTTTGTCATGCCCTAAATGCACTTAGTATTGTATATTGTAAATAAGTTTAATGTCTAATAAATAAGCCTCTAACTGGCCCCTAGTAACTTTATGTTGATATTTATTTTCTAGACCAGCTTTCAGTGCCAGAAGAGAAGACAGCAGAATTACTTTTGGATATTGAATCTGTAATTACCTTTTATTGTAAATCACGTAACGTTAAATACAACACATCCCTTAGCTGGATACATCTACTCAAACCGTTGGTGCATCTTCAACTTCCACGCAGCGATTTATACAACTGCTTTTACGCTATCATGAATAAGTACATTCCCAGGTAAAATATGATTGAACTACAGTTTTTAAAAGGAAATAAAAGTCTAGTTTGCTTTGAACTAAAGTTGTTAGATTTACTTTGATAGTAAAATAAAAGGCTCAAATAATTTTTATGGTTGTTTGAAACATAATTATTATTTAAGTTTATTTTTGTGGTTATAAATATATATGTATGTATGTGTGTGTGTGTGTGTGTATGTGCATGCATTTAAAAAAAAATGGCCACGCCGCAATCCATTCTCCTCCATTCTCCTCTCGGGATCTTGGGCATGCACGCACACGCACACGCACACGCACCTGGCATGAATTTAAGCCACTGGGTCCTGGACTCAAACCGCAGTCAACTACATGGGAGTCCAGCGACATAGCCATTACGCCAAATGCTGGACCCATAAATACATATTTTTAAAGGATTCTTTCATGGGCTAGCCCATGGTGTGATGGTTAAGACAGCTGGATCCCACAGGGCCGATAGCACAGTTTGAGTCCTATACCCAGCAGCTTGAAAAATACACCAGACACATGTGTATGCGTGCCCAGAATTCTGAAAGGAGGGAGAAATGGAGAAGAGCTTGCAGCATGACCATCTCTCATGGGGAGTGTGTGCTTTTTCATTCTCTTTCTGTCTTCTGATGAATACACATGCCCTATGACAGACTAAAGAAAAAGGAAAGAGATTATTTTGTTAAGAATTTGCTTTGGGACCAGCAGATGACATAATGGTAATGTTGCTGGACTCCCACATAGTTGACCACAGTTCCAGTCCCAGACCTGGCAGTTTAAACTCATGCTGGATGTGTACCTGCCCAAAATCGCAAGAGGAGAAGGGATTGCAATTGCAGCGTGGCCATCCCCCTGGGGGGTGATTTCTTACTTTCTATCTCTCTGTCTCTCTGGTGAGTGCATGTGCCCCATAGCAAAAATCTCTCTTTGAAAAAGGGAAAAAAAAAGAATTTATGCTTCTTTATGTAGCATAAGTCTTCCAGTTTATTTGTTTGGTATCACTATTTTAATTTCCTTACCTATATGTTAAAACATTATATAGTATTAAGTGAAAAGTATGATTTTTGGAGTACTACCTTATCTGAGGTGCCAGAGTTACAGCTTAGAATGCAGTCCTAGAAAAACAGGCATTGAACAAGTACATCGAAGTGTGTTGAGGGTTAGGAATGTAAAAGATAGTGCTCTGAGAATGTGTAACAGGGGTGACTAACTTATTCTGAAGGTCAGAGCCAGCTTCCCTGGACAAGTGATGCTTTAGTTGAAACCAGAGACATTGTTGGTTGGTGATAGAGGCCATAATGGCAGGCCATTATGGGGAGGGGCACTCATGAGGACAGTGCCATGGATGAGATAGATAGAATTTTAAAACCAAAAGAACATTTTTTTAAAAATTAGTTAGTTTTATTTATTATTATTATTATTATTATTATTATTATTATTATTCTATGAAAGCACCAGGAAAAGAGACAGACAGAGAGGGAAGGTAAGAAAGCAAGCTTTCGGGTCCAGGACTGGAATCATAGTTGGCCATGATTGGTGGGAGTCCAGCACCTTAACCACTGTGCCACCTGCTGACACTGAATTTTTCTTTCTTTTCTTAGAGAGATTTTTGCTGTAGAATGTGAGTGCTCACCAGAGACAGAGAGAAACAAAGAAAGTGAGAAATCACCCCCCCACCGTCACCACCCCAAGACTGTGGCCATGCCGCAATCTCTTCTCCATTTTCCTCTTGGGCTTTTGGGCACACATGCACACATACCCGGTGTGAGTTTTAAGCCATCAGGTCTAGGACTCAAACAGTGATGTGATTGATATGTGGGAGTTCAGCGATGTAACTATTTAGCCATCTGCTGGTCCCTGAATTTTCTTTTTTAAATAACAACTTTATGGTGGTATTATTCACATATCATGGAATTCACCTTTTTAAAAAAATTTGCTATAAGGCACATGTTCTTGCTGTGGAGAAGACAGAAAGTGAGAAAATACCCTAGGGTGGGGTGGGGATTACCATGCTATAGTTCCTTGTCCGTTCTCTTGTGATTTGGGGCATGCATACACACATGGCTGGTATGTTCTCAAGCCACCAGTCCAGGACTTGAACTGCACAGTTGGCTATGTAGGATTCAGCCGCCTTTGCCTTAGCTGTGGGGCAAAAGCAACATGCCACCAACCGGCTGACCTGATTCACACTTGTAATGTGTAAAATTAACTGGGCAGATGATCCCAAGGCTGAGATACTTCCTGAGATAATGGCTAGAAATTGTAGGGAATCCACAGGCCAAAATGGTTCTCTAGGCCTTTTATAATTGCTTCTACTTTTGAAATAATACCTTCTTTTGAAATCTTTGGCACTGAAATGTGCTGCTTTTTTAAAATAAGGGCATTGTGATAATAAAATAATATTTGATACCTTTTACTTTAAAACAGTATTCCCATTCATCTTTCTCACTTTACTCTCACAATGACTCTTTGAAGTAGGACAGTTAACAAAATAAATATTTGACACTATCTGGAATTCTCTGTGAGCATCTAGTACTCAGGCCACTTTGGCAGTTTCTGAGACTCCTGTGTGCTGTTCAGAAAGTTCGTTTGCGGCCATTTCAGACTCATACTTTTGCTAAAGGACATTCCTAATTGAGTATGTAAATGGTGGAGCTAATCGGAAACCTTCCTAGGAGTTTCCTCTTACTTGGTGGGGAGTTTCCTCTTATTTCCTAGGAGTTTCCTCTTACTTGGAGGGACTGGACTTTATCAGGACTCTCTGGATCTTCTTTTGGGATCTTAACTTTACCAACGTAACCTAAATGTTGTTCTCAGAGATCCCCGTAGTTTTCTAGCTTGAGTACTACCTGGAGAAGGCTTGGGTTTGCCTGGAGAAAGTCTCCCTAGAGTGACTAGACCTGCTGCTTCTACAGACTTTTGTCAAGTCAGGTATATCAAGAGATGTTAGCAGGAGAGCTCTGCCTGCTCTGTCAAGCTCGGCTTATTGTGAATGCCATGGTGTTCAGCATTCTGAGGAAGAGAGGAGGAGGTAGGAATGTAGGAGGGTTGCTTACTGATGTGATCAGTTCTGACCTGTTAACGCAAAATCGTTGCTTCTCTTATCTTCCAGGGATTGTTTCCTGAAGGGGAGACCATTTCATCTCTTCCGCTTCCTCATCCAGTACCATGAACCTGAGCTTTGTTCTTTTCTTGATACAAAGAAAATTACTCCAGACTCCTATGCACTCAACTGGGTAATAAAGTGAAAGTAGGAACACTTAATGAAAAATAGATTTATATTAAACTATAGTTAGGTGTTTTGTTTGTTCTTCCCTGAGTAAGAGAAAGATTCTAAATTATAGACTATTACCACTTAAAGGAGTAAAATTATTGGCATGTCAGGGTAACTCCTTTTGCTCTTCACTTGTCTTAATTCAGATTACTTGATAGAAAGTTTAGCCTTTTATTGTTTTACATGTATGTTGTAAAGGTAAATATAGGCATGTGATACATGTAAATATATACATCCAGTTTAAAACTGTGTGTTTAAATTGTCAGTGTGTAAGAATTTGGTATCTAATCATGAGCAAAGTAACTTAAGATTGTCAAGTGGTTAATGTAAAAGAATATGAAGTACAACGCAGTGCTGTCATTCTGTGTGTATTTTCAGTGGGAAGTCTTAGGCAGCTCCATCGTTCTCAGATCTCTTGGTCTTGGAACTCTTTGCACTATTAAAAAACGTTTTTAAATTTTATTCATTGTTATTATTTTATTTTATTTATTTATTTTTTGAAGTTGACCAGAGAGAGAGAGAGAGAGAGAGAGAGAGAGCAAGCTGCCAGGTCTGGGACTCTCACTGAGGTCAGCCATGTGGGAGTCCAGCTGCCTTAACCACTGCGCCACCTGCTGGCCCCGCACTCTTAAAATGTGTTTGGAGTATATCAATTAGAAATTAAGACTAGGGAAAGTGTTCATTTATTTATTAAAATAATGATAAGTCTATTGCATGTTAACATAGTTTATTTTTATGAAAAACAACTATGTTTTCCAAAATAAAATTAGAATAGTGCATTACTGTATATTTTTGCAAATCTCATCCACATTTGACGTAATAAAAGGAAGGAGTTTGTTATGAAAATAGTTTTGACCTTAAATTTCCCTGTAAAAATTCTTAGGGGTTTGTTAGAGTCCTCTGACTGTACTTTTTGGATTGTTCTTCTTTGCTAATTTGAAGATCTTCCTCAAACAATTGTATATTGTAATTCAGAATTTAAAGTGTTCTTCGATCTTGTCTTACCTAACTTTTCTTTGGGAAAAATCTCATGTTTGCCCCTTACTAACTTTATGATCTAAGACGCTTAGCCTTTGGCCAGCAGGTGGCACAGTGGTTAAGACGCTTAACCTCTGAGCATTAAATTTCTTCATCTGTAAAATGAGCATCATATACTACCTATCTCAGAGGATGATGATAAATTAGCAGTCAGGAAATAATAGAGAATCCTAACTAGTTTCACTTTCTAGAGAGTAAATCTCAAATACCGGTAGCCTATGCTTTAGTTACCACTTGGCCACAGTTAAAATCATAAAAACTCTATAAAATTATAGTTTCCTTGATAGACATATGTTGCCATTAAATCTACTGTTTAAAAAAAAAAAAGGATTCCAGGACCAACAGGTGGCATGATGGCTGGACTCCCACATTGCCAACGGCTGTTTGAGTCCCAGACCTGGTGGCTTGCGCTCTCTCTCTCTCTCTCTCTCTCTCTCTCTCTATGGTGAGCATGCATGCCCTATAGCAAATTAAATAATAATAATAGCTAAATAAATAATTCTTTGGGCGGGGGACAAGTATTCCATGAGAGAAAGAGGTAGAAAGTAAGGGGGAAAAAACTCATGTACACATACACACACACACAGAGGCATCCCAGCACAGTCTACACACTGTGATCCACTCCCAGCCTTAGCAGCCTGGATTATGTGCACATGCGCACATACCTACTGTGTACCGAGAGGCCCTGGGATGTGAATTTTGGACCTTCCTTTGAGGGGTCTAGTTGTGTTACTGCTGCATGATGTCTGATTTTGAACATCTGCTTGTTTATGTTAAAGTTAAAAACTATCCAAAGAATCTCAGTAATTAACACAGATAATCACCACCTAGAAGATGCCATTTATATTGCCAGAATTCTGAAGTACTCAGGGCTGATAGCAGGAGGTATAAACTAAATATTAAACCACTAGTTTCACTTCAGCTAATGTGTCAAATAGTTCACTCTTGCTACTTGTATTATGTTAATAAAATGGAGGGAATTTTTGTTTGTTTATTTGTTTGTTTTTAGTCATGAGGCAGAATGATCAGAACTGCAGTAATTCCTAAACCTCAAGAACCCATACCAGTGCAGTGAGGTGGTAACTTTAGTTAGTCATGATGATGGTTGTATGTTACTGTTCTGTTTGTGTTTACATCTTCTGATCTGTATTTATAATAGTAATTTTCCAAATAACTGAAAAGTCTCAATGTTACATAACTTAACATAGAAGCCTTAAGTCAAGTATAATGGTGAATACATGGACTGTGGAGTTTCAGGACTGTTTTCTAGTTCCAATACCACTGTTCACTAACTCTGGTTTGGGAAAGTTAATTTTTTTTTTTTTTGGAGAGGTTTTTGCTATAGGGCGCGTGCGCTCGCCAGACAGAGAGAGACAGAAAGCGAGAAATCACCCCCTAGGGGGGGATGGTCACGCCGCAGTCCCTTCTCCTCCATTCTCCTTTTGGGATCTTGGGCATGCACGCACACGCACCCAGCGTGAGTTTTAAGCCACCAGGTCCGGGATGCGAACCACGGTTGACTACATGGGAGTCCAGCAACATAGCCATTATGCTAACTGCTGGTTCCCTAGGAACGTTAATTTTGAAAAAATTTTATCTTGCTAGGCCTGCAAGTAGTAGGGAGGTTAATACACTGGATGCCATGTGGCCAACTGTGTGGTTCAAGTCCAGGACCCAGCAGCTTGAAAGTCATGCTGTGTGTGTGTGTGGCCATTCACACATACAGAGGAGAGGAGACTGGAATAAGGATTATGGCGTGGCCATCCCCCAGAGCATGATCTCTCTTTCTCTCTTTCAGTCTCTGGTGAGTGCACATGCTCTATAGCAAAAACTAAAAAAAATTAAAATTAAAATTAAAAAAAATTTAGTTTTCTAGAGAATACTTGCATTGCTGGAGACCAATAGAGGCAGAGAGTGAGAGAGAGAGGAAAAGTGAGAAAGCATCCCCATGGAAAATGGCCATGCCGTAATTCCTTCTCAGCCATCTGTCCTTCTCTTTAGGACTTTGAGCACGCATATACATGTACCTGGCATGTTTCTGAAGTCACCCAGTCAGGAACTCAAACCATGTAGTTGGCCATGTGGAATTCAGCCACTTTAACCACCACACCACTGGCTAGCCCAAGGAAAGTTATTTAATCCAAGTCATTTTCTTCATCTATAAAATGGGGAGAAAAGTATCTACCTTACAGGCCTTTTGTGAGAATTAAAATAATAGGTAATAAACAAAAAGGGACTGCAGTTAGAACTTGGCACTAAGTATGCACTAAATGTGTGTTTCCAGTAACTTCCTTTAGCCATTAAACATTAAATTTAAGCCTCTAGGTATAATTGCTTCTTTATCTAATTCAAATTAAATGTTAAAAAGTATCACTGAATTTAAGCTATTTGAAACACAATTGGACTGTAAAGAAACTTATCTCAGCTCTTTTATTTGAAATACAAAACCATAGAGCTCCTGAAATCTATTAAAGGATTTGAATGTTATATTACCTATTTCAAAAGGTGTACAAACAGATTTGGAAGCAATTCACATTTATGTTGTCACTAAAACTTTTTAGGTTCTCTTAAATTACCATGTTTGATCTTCCCAGTTACTTCATAAATTAAATAATGTGTTGTTATTAGTAATAATTATGCTAGTTATCCTTATGAGGCTCTGTAAGTAATTTTACTGGTTATATACTGTGGCAGGTCTATGTCCTACTTAGATATTCTAGGTTAATTATTTCTGTCATCACAATAGTGGGAAATAGTATTTCTTTCTTTGTCTTTCTTTTTTTTTTTTTTCTTTTTAACAGAAGTAGAAATGGAAGCTTTAAAGGGGTTAGGTGATGGGGCCCTGAGTCACACAGCTAGTAAATGTCTCTGTGCCTTGAATCTATGTGTTCTGCCTTTGGGTTTCACAGAGTAAAATTAAGGTGCACATTAAATATCAGGTGCTGATAATGTGAAGTACTGTTACTTATTCATTTGCTTTAGTACACACACAAAATACACAGATCAGCTACAGTGGTTTATGTCTCTCATTTTATTTCCTGATTATAGCTTGGAAGCCTTTTTGCCTGTTACTGTTCCATTGAAGTCACTCAGTCAATATGGGATGGCTATCTCCAACAAGCAGATCCATTTTTTATTTACTTCTTAATGTTAATTATCCTTGTTAATGCAAAGTAAGTATCAAGTTGTTAGATGTTTTTCCCTCTTTTTCTCAAGGTGCTCTCTTTATATTTAACTCAGATTTACTTGATTTCCTTTTACAGAGAAGTTATTTTAGCACAAGAGTCAGACAGCAAGGAAGAAGTTATCCGTAAGTATCATTTAGTGTAGAGAAAACATTTTGGGTCACTTAATCTTTCTAAAACTCAGTTTCCTCTTCTGTAAATTTAGATTAGTCTAGAAGAGCTCTGAGGTTCCATTCAGCTCTCATAGTCTCTAAACACTCTCTAGGTTTAGACCTAAAGACAGTTTTCCCTGATTTTGCCTTCTCACTCATTCCTTGATGTTTTTCACTCTTTCATCACTTTCATGCACTGTTTCTTTGGTTTCAGAGTTCAAATAGAATGCCCTCCTCTATCTTTAACCACTCTTTTCTTAATTTGCCCTTTCAATATTCAACTTACAAGATATCGCCATTGTGAAACTTGGGTTCTTCTTTTGGGGTTTTCCAACTCTGTAGTCCCCACATGGAGATAGTTATTTCTTCTATGTTTCTCTATATTTTGCTCTTCATACTATCTACATAATAGTGTTTATCTCACAACATTACAATGATTTATTTTCATTATTTCATAGAAGATGAAAGTCAGACACTATTATATTAGGTCATCAGAAAAGGCATGATGTATATTTCTGTATATTTCTATGCAAAAATGTGTCATGACTTTCCCAATGACCCAATATTTCTTAGCCATTTTATATTTCCAGGGTCCCTGACCTTTTGTAAATGTTTGTTGAAAAAAGTAGATCAGAGAATTCCAATTAAGGCTAATGAATTTGATTTGATTGCCTGATACCATCATTCATTAACAGGAGAATGGCATTAACAGTTTCAGCTCCCCTTTGGGGAAATCCATTTGTCCATAACAGCTTTAAAAAGCACCACTGTTGAGATTCCATTATATATTATAATATTTATTATATGGAAGATATTTTAGCTTTGATACATAAATAATATTAATTATTACATATTTTATAAGGAGTGTATTAACTGTCATATCTATAATCATTTTTCAGAATTTTTGGAAAATACCCCATCCAGTTTGAATCTAGAAGATATAGAAGACCTTTTTTCTCTGGCTCAGTATTATTGCAGTAAAACACCAGCTTCTTTTAGGAAGGTATAAGACCAGAAATGAATAATTGTTCTGTATTTTACATGTATATGTTGGCTTATTATTTATTCTTGTAGCAACTTCTGTTAAAACATTCTAGTTTATCGTTCTTTTTTCTTTCTTTTTATGTGTTCTAGTTTTGTATAACTTTTCTTTGTAAATACTCTCCATAGTCGCAGAACAAACAAATTTAAAAAGGTAATAGGAATCACCTTAACTCTGTGTCAGTAGTTTCTGATCATGGCAAATTGACTATGAAATATTTTCCAAATTAGTGCTTTCTTTGTCTGTCTTGGAGGGAATGGTTGTATTTAGATAGGTTATCTCTGTATCATGATCTTCCCACTTCAGCTTCCCGAGAAGCACTCCGGGTTCACAGCACTTCAATTAGCGATTTTGTTTTTCGTTGTTATTTTTTAAAGAATTGTTTATTTTTATTTAACTTTGTTTATTTATTTATTTGACCAGAGAGAGATAGAGTGTGTGGGGGGGGCGGGCGGAGGAGAAAGCAAGCTGCCAGATCCGGGACACAAACCACGATGGGCCATGTGGGAGTCCAGTGCTCTTAACCACCACAACTCTCCCCCCCTCCCCCCCAGTTAGGGATTTTTTTTTTTTTTTTACTTTAACAGTCATATTAAATGGCCCCAGATGATGGTTCACCAGTTAAATGCAATGCTCTGTGAGGCTTACCCACGTGGGAAGGATCTGGATTCATGTCCTAAGACTTCCTTGAGTACACTAGGCATGCACATACCCATTATTTGGGACTGGCTGAGGATCTGGATCTGGACTGTGCTATCTAGACTCTGTTGGGAGGGACCAGTAGGTGGTGCTAGACTCCCACGTGGCCCACCACAGTTTGTTCTCAGACCTCGTAGCTTGCTTTCTTACTTTCCCTCTCTCTTTGCCTGTCTCTTTCTGATGACTTCAGCAAGTTTTAAAAAAAAATTATTGGGACCACCAGCAACTGGCATAATTGCTATGTTGCTGTACTCCCCTGTAGTCAACTGTGATTCAAGTTCTGGACCTGGTGGCTTAAACTCATGCCAGGCGCATGTGCGTGCCCAAGATCCCAAGAGGAGAATGGAGGAAAAGGGATTGTGGCATGGCCATCCCCTCTAGGGGGTGATTTTTCCCTTTCTGTCTCTGTTTCTCTCTGTCATTCTGGAAAAATGCACATGCCCTTTAGCAAAAAAAAAAACCTCTCCAAAAAAGAATTATAATATTAATAAAGTAAATCTTTGGGAAATAAAAGAAAGACCCTTTTGGGAATGCTGCTTCTCTATTTCTCTGCCTTTCTCGTTATTTATGAAAGACATAAATAAATAAACTTTAAATTGTATTATGAAAATTTTGGCCATCATTGTCTTGATGGATGGGTGGATCCCACATGGTCAGCCATGGAGTTCAAGTCCTACATCCAGTGACTTGTGTTTGTGTGTGTGTGTGTGTGTGTGTGTGTGTGCGTGCATGTGTGCCCAAAATCCCAAAAGAAGAGAGAGATGAAAGAGGAGATTGTAGAATGACCATGTCCCATCAACAGTTTTTCTCTTTCTCTGTCTTTCTCCAGTGAGCACACATACCTTCCAGTGAAAAGAAACGAAAACAAAACAAACAAAAAACACAAAACATCTGTGAGGAGATATGTAGTTATGCCTATATTTTCTGAAAGTTAGCCTTGTATAACTTTTATGATTCAGACCTGTCTTGTGAACAACCACAAAAAAGGAGGGGTGGGACTAGCAGTTAGCGGAATGGCTATGTCGCTGGACTCCCACGTAGTTGACCGTGGTTTGTGACCCGGACCCGGTGGCTTAGAACTCACGCCGGGCACATATGCGTGCGCGCCCAAGATCCTGAGAGGAGAATGGAGGAGAAGGGATTGTGGCGTGGCCACCCCTCCTGGGGGGGTGTCTTTGTCTCTCTGTCTGGTGAGCACATGCGCCCTATAGCAAAAACCTCTCAAAAAAAAAAAAAAGAGGGGTCAGAGTCTCATAGAGACTTAAATTCTTAGACCAGAGAAATGTTTTCAATTAAGGACACTTTATTGGAAATAAGATTATAAGCATGAGTGGTGTGAACACCTAGAGAATAAAACTCGTAAGACCCAAAAGCTAATACTGTAAAGGACACATATTTATATTTAAAAAGCATCCCCTCCCCACCACCCATCTTTCTAGTGAATGCATGCACCCTCTTGCAATTGCAAAAAAAAAAAGAACATTTATATAAAAACTAATTTTAAAAAGAAGTTCTTTTCTAGGTACTAATTTCATTCTTCATTATAATTTCTCTATATAAATCACTTTAATTCCCTACAATGTTAATTAAGTCAGATGGTAGGATAATAGTTTACAGTTCTGGACGTTAAGCCCTATTCTTTTATTTTTTCGTCCTTTAAGGAGAGCACCTGTTATTTTTCAGGTACAGTAAATAATCTGCACTAGTCGTCGTGAATTAGAACAGACTATAGATCAGTATATTACATGGTTTATGCAAGTCATTTCTGCCACTTCTTTGTTTTTATTAAGATATGAGAAATTGTGAGTAATCATTTTTAAAATGTAATATTTAACTATGAGTGACAGAAAATAACTGTGGAAGATACATTCTTTCTTCCTTCATCTTTCATTTTGTGTGAACTCTGACAGGGACTTGGTATGTGACCTTTTTGTAGCTTTTTTCATGTAGTATTTGAGATTATGTAATACTAAGTTTTAAAAATTACATGACTCAAAGATGTTATATATTTTTAACCTTTTATCATGTTAATAAGGATACTTTTAGGAAGAATGTTTGATATTGTTTTTTCTTCATACTATTTAAAATTTTTCTCTTCTAACAGGATAATCACCATCTCTTTGGTAGTACATTGTTGGGGATTAAGGATGATGATGGAGATCTGAGTCAGGCACTTTGTCTGGCTGTCTCAGTGTCAGAGATCCTTCAAGCGAATCAGCTGCAAGGGGTAAGTAAAGGAAACCCTGTCTGGCAGGCCACTGTTTGTAAATACAAGGAACCAGCATTTCCTCCCTGCTCGTATATTCCCACAAAACTAATTTTGTATTAAATCTGCCCAGATGGCTTTTAAAAAATTTTCACTTTGTTTTGATTTGCTAGAAAGTGTGTGTATGTGCCAGAGAGAAGGGTGGAGGGAGCAAGAAAGCAACCCCAGCCCCACCCAGAGGGATGGTCATGCCATAGTCCTTTCTCCTTCATTTCTTCTTTTAAAACTTTGGACACACATATGCCTGGCCATGTTTTTTAACTCAGCAGGTCTGGGGCTTGAAGTGCATTCGACCGAATACAGGATCTTGCCATCTTAATTATCATACCATAGGTAGCCCCAGATGTTCATTTTTAAACTGTCCAGATTGTATGTTATTTTAATTGTTAACAATTATTTTTGTCACTTTTGACACCAGTTTTTATAAATTGCTCTATCGGTTTTCACATTTCAGCAAAGCAACTGAATGTGGCATTGTATAAAGTACTTAAAAGGGTGAATTAGCATTTGACAGTTAAATTCTTTATAATTACACAGCTAATTGAATTACATGGTTGACTGCCATGAAATATTTTACAAAGAAGAATTGTGAAAATATACCATAATTTTCTGTCCATTATAATCTTCATGAAAATCTAATGAGCCAGTTTGGTATTGGTTTGGGGATTAGGGGTGCCAACCCTTCACATAGTTGAAAATCCACATATAACTTTTGACTCCCACAAAACTTAATAGCCTGATGTTGATCTAAAGCCTTAATCAATAATGTAGTCAATTAATACCTATTTTGTATATGTATCATATATTTTATTCTTATGGGAAAGTAAGCTAAAGCAAAGAAAATGTTACTAAGAAAATCATAAGAGAAAAAATATTTGTATTTCCCCATATATTTAATTGAAAAACATCTATGTATAAGTAGTCCTGGGCCATTCAAGCTTGTGTTCTTCAAGGGTCATCTATATGTAATCTTTACAAGATACACATTTTTAAATTGTCAAATTCCAATACAATATAATTGCTTAAAGCTCAAATTGACATTCTTGCCATATATTTTAAGACTTTCCAGTCTAGAAGATTATATAGAAGTGTTCTGTTTAAAATGAATAGAAGTGTGTGTGCCTGTACTAACTGGGTTCTCCTAAATACATGAGATCCATTTTTAAATTAATCTATTCCTCCTCTTTTCGTTGTTTATATTATATTGGGTAATGTGAACCACATGGCAAAACATATCAAGTATTACTTCTCTTTTAGGAAGGAGTGCGGTTCTTCGTGGTGGATTGCCGTCCTGCAGAACAGTATAATGCTGGGCATTTATCAACTGCTTTCCACTTAGATTCAGATCTGGTTAGTATAAAGGCTGATTAATATTTTTGTAAAAAGTAAGGGAGGGGACTGGAAAGTGGCACAATGGTAAGCACAATGCTCTGCAAGGCTTATCCACATAGGCAAATTCTAGGTTCGGGTCTGAAGACTTCCACAAGAACTCCAGGCATGCCCTTGCCCGTGATCTGGGCTTGGTTGAGGCTGGGGAGGATTACCCTATCAGGACCCTTTTGGGGTGCTGTCTGTCTCTTGCTCATGGAAGAAATAAACCTGAAAATAAAAAGTAAGGGAAGACATGACTTTTTTTTTTTCTTTAGCTCATAAATAAATATACATGTCCTAGATTGGGAGCATTTTTCCTTTTGTTTAAGGAGACAGATTCTGCCTTTGTTTGAGAGAAAAAAAAAAGAAGTGTTCTAAGATTTCCTTTTCACCACCCCCCACCCCCAGGGGAATAGCCATGCCACAATCCCTTCTCCTCCGTTGTTCTCTTAGGATCCTGGGCATGCGTGCACCCAGCAAGTTTTTCTTCAAACCACCAGGTTTGGGACTGGAACTGTGAAGTCTGCCATGTGGAATCCAGCCACCTTAACCACCACACCACCTGCTGGCCCACTCAAGCTATTCTTTCGGCATCACAAAGGGTAGATGAAAAGCTGTTACCAGGGAACCAGCAGTTAGCGTAATGGCTATGTCGCTGGACTCCCACGTAGTTGACCGCGGTTCACGTCCCGGATCCGGTGGCTTAAAACTCACGCCGGGTGCGTGTGCATGTGCACCCAAGATCCCGAGAGGAGAATGGAGGAGAAGGGATTGTGGCGTGACCATCCCCCCTGGGGGGTGATTTCTCGCTTTCTGTCTCTATGTCTCTCTCTGTCTGTCTGGCAAGCGTACACGCCTGATAGCGAAAACCTCTCAAAAAAGAAAAAAAAAAAAGCTGTTACCTATGGGTATTCTCATTATGATGTCAGTAAATTCTAAACTTACTGTGGGCTGCCTGATAGAGCACTTAGCATAATGCTTTGTTCCTAGTAAGTACTCTATAAATATCTGCTCTCATAATTGGATAAGAAATCTAAAAGCTTTTACTATATATAAATCTGTTTTTTTAAATTGTGAATATGCTTATAATTAACTAATGTATAATTTAGGAGTATTGGACATATCAGTGCTTATTTGTTAAAATTACTATCCTAGGTCATTTCAGTTGAAGGTTTAGATTAAGTAAATAAACAAGTGTTGTGAGAGATGTTTAGAGCCATTAGTAAAACTGAGACTAAAATTATCTAAGCTGTCCTTGTATCATTGGAGCCACAGGAATGCTGAATACAAAGTAAGAAGTGGTATACTAACCTCTTTTGCTGAATATACACCCTTCTTCCCACCTTGTTTGGAAGAGTTGATGCTGAGGCTGAAATTATGTGTAGAAAGGTGAGGGTTGTGTTGCTATGGTTTATGATACACCATCCCCGCCCCCCCAAAAAAGCACCCCAAGTTCATGGGTTAAGATTTGGTCATGAAAGTAGTAGAGGAAGTTTATACCTTGTATACCTGTTGTAGAAAAACAGATGCTGAGGAACGAAAAGCGGCACTCAGGAGAGAAAGGAGAATTCTTTATTACACCGATGGGAACAGAGCAGTTAATACTCTGAATCTCCAGCTTGGGCTGAGAGTTAGACAGTCTTTGCATGAACTGGGAAGGGCAGTTTCAGCACGCTTAGAGCGTCCTATGAGGGAAGAGGCTCAGTGTCCGCCCCAGTACAGAAAAGGCAGAGAAGCAGGGAATTCATCCTGCTCAAGGCTTTTGTCCACTCAACAGTTAGGGAAAGGGGCAGCTTGTAGGGGAACAGAAAGCCCAGACAGCCGTCAGCCCTGGGTTGCTTCAAGGTTGCTCACAAGTTCTGGGTTGTTCCACATAATTCCCTTCGTGCCTCCTCAGCCATACTCGAGGGTCAGTTAACAGGAGGGCAGTAAAATAGCTTTCTGGGGCAGTGACTAGTAGTTGATATTTGACAGCAGGAGGTTGAAAGGATATTGTTGGGGTGCCATTCATTGCTGTCCTCAAGCCTCTGCTATGCATAGATTGGTCAACTTCCAGAGTGACCAAAGCAGGGCTGTAGTCTCCTCAAGCTTCTGCCGTGCATAGAGCAGCCAGCCCAGGAGTGTCTGCAGCAGGGCTGTAGTCCTCATGATGGGTCTTTATCCTCTGGCAGGTCATTTTGGTCGGTTGCCTAGGGTGGCTTAGCACCCTCCAGGTCCTGGGTTCCTCCAGTACTGTGGCTCCATTCACTTGCGAGTGTTGTATCCATTGGGCTACCCCTGCAACCTTAACTGCAGTGGGGGTAACAAGCACAACAACATATGGCCCCAACTAGGTGGGCTATAGTGATTTATTTCCAATTTTTAACCACATCAAGTCCCCAGGCTCATGTTTGTGTACCCAGTTTCTGAGGGGAGCAGGGGTTCTTTTTAAGGTTACATGAGCTACTTTTTTTTTTTTTTT